TTCTGCACTGGTCCCTTCCCGTAGTAGGTAGTAAATAGTTCCTTTAGTATCAGTGTTTCAAGGTCTTCCGTTATGAGCACATATAATTTATTTAGCCAATTCTCCCTTCACGGGGCCGGATTCTTCCCATCTTTTTCATTATATGCAGTGCTGCACGGAATAACCTTATACATACAGTCAGTTCTGCTAGAACGCTCGTGTTGGAAACAGATTTGTTCTAACGCGGTTGATCTGTCAGGGAACGGTCGGAGCTTGATGTGGGTTCTGAGCTCGCTCACGTGTGACCCCATCCCTGAGAGAGACACTCGGTGAGCACAGAAAATCGTGGAATGGACCTGTGTCGGAATCCACAACACACACGCACACACGTCAGACTGTCGTCAGCGACTTCACCTCCCCGTTGAGTCACACTGCCTACCCCAGGTGTTACACCTTCCCTCCGACCCTCAGATTTCAGGTAACCCTCCTTCCTCCACTTCACAGAATCCCAACAAGCCACAGCCCTCCCCCACCCAGTTGCACAGGATCCTGCTGTTAAGTGCGTCACCAATAGTTTTCGGGTGTTAGGCCCTTAACTGCGTTTTTGCTGGAAGCCCTGTGGTTCTTTGTTGCATGATTTTGCTTATTGTAGTGATTTGTGACCCACGATACATGTTTATCACATTGTACAGGACTGACCATACCGTGTGCGGGTATATCTGTAGAATAGATTCCCAAGTGGAAAGGTCCAGAGTTTTAGGAGTTATATCCTGTGGGATCACTGTTGGCACAGGTTGAAGTCTATACAGGTGGTTGGTTTTTCCTTTTTCACAGAAAGTGTTTACGATCGAGCTGAAGGGTATGTGTCAGCACTACTTGGGAATAATACCACTCCTGTTCATCCTAAATGTGTGGGTGATTCTGGATGTGTGATGGTAATTAAGGAAGCTCTTCACATGTTGGTGGGAGGCAAAGAACCTCATGGAGGCAGGAATGTCTGAGGTGGGGACTTTTCTCCCTCTGACTTCTTCAGGGTCACCTGAAACAGAAAGAGGGCTTCAAGCCAAGAGACAAGAAGGGACTAGTTACCAGAATGGGCAGTGTCTGGTTGTGAGAGCCCATGGCGATCCAAAACACATTCACCAAGTGCCATCCAGAAAGAATGGCCTTCAGGGGCCTTGGAAATCCCAGAGCTCAGACCTTGAGCCCAAGGCTAGGGCGCGCAGAGCAAAGGAATTTGCTAAGAGAAACCACTGCTTTCCTAAAGAATGTGAAGGTAAGAGAGGCAAAAATGGGAAATTAGGGAGAAAGTGTAGGAAATGCACCCAGGTATTTGTTTCATGGACATTTAAAGTTTTCAAAAATACTCAGACCCTGCCAGCTTATTCGTCCACCATTTTTTTAAAGAGCTCTCTTTAAAAACAAAATATCTCCTCATTGAGCGGGAAAACCCAACTACAAAAAGTCCACGCCAAGACCCAAGTTCCTTCAGTATCAGCTTGCGCCACACTGGGGCCAGGAGGAAGTAAATGACCTTGACAAACAGAAGGACAATGGCACTTGACGCTTTTTCGATACCGTTTTTTCCATTTTTGTTTGGTTGGTAAGAATTGCTTTCTGCGTCAGAAAGTGGCCGTGGGAGCTATTACAACACTGAAGATAAAAGTTACGAAAATAAATTAGGTAAAGCCCCTTTAAATAAGTTAGTATTTAAAACTGAACAAAGAAGGGAGTCACTTGTTTTCTTAGGTAATGGGAACACGGCAGGTTTGATCAGGAAGCTGGTGTTTAAACCTGTAATCTTCCTGTCACCAGTGATTTTGAAACCCTGCTCCATTGTTTGGGGATTTCACCGCTCGATTCTGCATTTTTTCATAAAGACGCTGGAAAAGAATATCTCACCCGTTGTCAGTTCTTTTTGAAAACAGTAATTATTGATTCAGCTGAGCTGCTCATTTAATTTATTACCTACTGAGGATTTCTTTATTGATATTTCTCCATTAAAATTTTGATTTGGGGGCATCTGGCTGGCCCAGTCACTGGAGCATGGGGACTCTTGATCTCGGGGTTGTGAGTTTGAGCCCCACAATGGGTATAGAGATTACTTAAACAAATAAAATCTGAGAAAGATTTTTTTAATTTAACATTAACATGATGATACCATAACAAGAAATGGAATTTTAAATTCTTCATCTTAATGGAAAACCCAGTTTGCATTCCTCTGAAGCCTCTTGCCTTTGTCATATAGTTAGAAAGATATATGTCCGTTCTCTACATGTTTTATGATGATTTGCTACAACCTTCTCGCTTTTAGAAAAATGCCTTGTGTTTTGACTCTTCTGGGTGATCTTAACATTGTCCATCTTCTACGTATAAAACTCAGTAGGAATTGGACATTAGACTTATGTACGTAGGCCTTCCTTGACTGTTCTTAAAGCTTTTTATTCTAAAGAAACCTCTTGGGGTACCTGGGTGGCTCAGTCGGTTAAGCGTCCGACTTCGGCTCAGGTCTTGATCTCGTGGTTTGTAAGTTCGAGCCCCAGGCTGGGCTCTGTGCTGACATCTCGGAGCCTGGAGCCTGCTTCAGATTCTGTGTCTCCCTCTCTCTCTGCCCCTCCTCCTATCATGCTCTCTCTCTCTCTCTCTCTCTCTCTCTCTCTCTCAAAAACAAACAAAAAAGAAAGCTCTTATTCTCTGGTTTCATAAATGCTAATCCAAGACTCTAGGGAATTGTCTATGTTATGTGATCAAGATGTTTATGAAGGAATACCTTTGGGAGAAGAGTGTGGCTCAGAGGCATTAGTTGGTTATTTGCTCTGTTCTCTCTCTCTCTCTCTCTCTCCTTCCCTCCCTCCCTCCCTCCCTCACAGACATTATTCTCATAATATCCCAGATTATATGCTCAGGAAAATGATAAAAGCAATGCTTTGGCACGGAGAAGAAATGTCCTCCTTTGCTTCTGCCTAGGTTTTTAAACACTTAACAGACTGATGTGTTTTATTTAAAAGATAGTATTTTCGGCTCTCTTAAAATGAATTTGGATATTTTATTGTTATTCAGAAAAGAATATTTATTGAGGATTTCTCTGTGTCCCAAGCACTGTGCTGACTAATTCACCACCAGCCCTTTCTTACCCCAGCACTCTCTGAGGAAGGCACTGTTGTGATCCCCACCCTACAGTTTGGGGACTGGATGTTTATGGAGACACTTTCCCAGGGTCATACGGTTCGATGCATGAGTGGTAGAGACAAGGTGCCAACCCATTTCTGGTTCTCCAGAGCCAAACCCAATCACCTAAATAGATTTGCTTACCAGTTTGAACAAGGGGCATATTTGTCAAGTGATTAATATAAAAACAATTATTTAAAATATTTATTCTTTCCGGGCTCCTGGGTGGCTCAATTAAGCGTCCGACTCTTGGTTTCAGCTCAGGTCATGATCTCACGGTTTCGTGGGTTCGCATCCTGCATCGGGCTCTGTGCTGGCAGCACGGAGCCTGCCTGGGATTCTCTCTCTCTGCCCCTCTCCCACTCATGCTGTCTCTGTCTCTCTCTCAGAAATAAGTAAATAAAACTTCCAAAAAAAAAAAAAAAATTGTATCCTTTCTTTAACCACTTAGCCCACAATTGCTTTGCTTATCTCTTCTTCTTGCCATAAATAGTAATGTTATTTCACATGAGAACTTGTTTTTACTTCAACCCTATTTTTAATTTTGCCAAATTTTGTTCTATTCATGAGGCTGGCAGTTATTTCTTGATCGGATTTCCTTGTGATACGACACCGTTTCATTCGAGACTTCAGTGCATCTTGTACCCAAAGAACGTGCTTTTAGGTTAAGCCACTCATCTTCCAAGGGTCCACGTGAGAACGTGTTGAATTCACATAATCATGTCGTAGCCAAGTTAGGAAACTTTTAACTTCGGTTTTCATCTCTTGATAGCTTTCTCCTGCTCTGTCACTGTCCCCCGACCCTCATAGACACGGGCCGTGTATTCTAATGGCAGACTACATAAAGTGCTTTCCAACTTGTGCGTTCTTGAAATAACCAAATGGTAGTATTCAAGGGGCCTTTTGGAAAACTCTTCCCTTATGTAAGGAACAGTTACTTAATCATTGGGGGGACAGTCAAAATGCTTAAAATTAGCTTGAGATTTCATTTAAAAGGGCATATTGGACAAGTTAACATTCTCTCTGGATGTACCAAAGTAAGTAATGGTTTTATGTGGTGTTCACTGAAGAATTATGTTTCTGTATAGTATCTGCTAGCTATTTGTTTATTTGTTTATATCACAGCCAGGGGAGGGGCAGAGGGAGAGAGAGTCTCTGGCAGTCTCCATGCCCAGCGCGCGGGGCCCAAGCTCACAACTGACATGATCCGAGCCAGAATTAAGAGTCTGACGCTCAACCAGCTAAGACACCCAGGCGCCCCTTGTATCTGCTATTTAAAAATAACAGCTTGGGGCGCCTGGGTGGCGCAGTCGGTTAGGCGTCCGACTTCAGCCAGGTCACGATCTCGCGGTCCGTGAGTTCGAGCCCCGCGTCAGGCTCTGGGCTGACGGCTCGGAGCCTGGAGCCTGTTTCCGATTCTGTGTCTCCCTCTCTCTCTGCCCCTCCCCCGTTCATGCTCTGTCTCTGTCTGTCCCATAAATAAATAAAAACGTTGAAAAAATAAATAAATAAAAAATAAAAATAACAGCTGTATCTCTTTTGCAAAGAAATTTTATGTTTTCAGATATCTGGGGGTTTGTGTTGAGTCAAAACCATAAGTGTTTTGAGAAAAATATTTAACATTTTGCTCTCATCACGTTTCTCCGATTCTCCAGAAATTAGTCCCTTCACGGTTACCCCACCCCTGCCCTTCGTTTTTACTATGTATTAAGAAGAATCTGTTAGTTTTGTCTTTGTATTGCAAAGAAGTGAGGATTATGTAACGCCAACTGTTACGAAAGAGTTCTTAATTTTTAAAGCAGTTCTGTTTTTGTTCTCTTAAGTGACTTTCTATCTCTTTTCTCCTAACAAAGCAAATGAAAAAACACCCTTGCCGCCAGTGTGACAAATCTTTCAGCTCCTCACACAGCCTGTGCCGTCACAATCGGATCAAGCACAAAGGCATCAGGAAAGTTTACACCTGCTCGTAAGTCCTCATTTCTAACGTGCGAAGCACGGTAAAAGGATAATGCTGGAACTTTTCTACGGCTTTTCATATTTTGCCATTAACGCTCCATTTCTGTGCTGCAGGTTATAGATTTCACTTTTCAGTGCTGTTCCATTGTTGCGACATAGCAGTTTCTCGACTGGGCCATAACACTTAAAAAATAGTAAAATAAACAGGAGTTTCTGGCATACCCTGTGTACGTTCCTGGGTCCTTACCTGTTGTCCAGAGGGATAGATTTTATATACCTGAGCGTTTTGGAGAAGTGGTTGCTTTGCAGGTGCACAGGTGAATGAGATGCTTTTTGGTCTCTATAAGCGCAGGGATTTGCCAGCTTTGATTGGCAGGTTGATTGTCCAGTTGACTGGTTCAGAGCAGACCCTGATGGGGCCCGGTCGGGGACTGTGTCCTAGGCCGGACTGTTTTCCCTCATGCAGGGGCAGCCTTTTCCCAGCGCACACATTTGGCTCAGAGGTCAAACTCAAGGAATGGAGTAGGCCAACACATCGAGTGGGTGGTGATGCCACTCTGCACAGTCCTGAGCTACCTCTTTGGATATGAAAATCGGAACTTGTTATATCGTTAGTGAAAAAGCTTTATCACCCACTCAACCAGAACATGCCTCAAGTGAGCTGGTAACAGGCTTACTTACTTTAAGGCACTTCTCATAACAGGGAGAGAACTAACAGACACAGAAGCCATGTAGCCAGCACGTAGCGTGTGACACGATCAGAGCAGGGCACAGAGGACCGTGTGTCTCAGGACACGCGTGATGGTTGGCTGTCTGTTCCTCAAGGCTTCACTATTCTTGATTAGTTAGGGAAAGTTGCTCGGGTAGGAAAACCGGGACGTAGACAACTCCTGCAGTGAAATTAAAGCCGGGAGTGATTTCGGTGAGGTGAGAACATTCTGTGAATCAGGCCTGCATGTTTGAGACTGCGCCGGAAGGATGGGAGGACTTAGAAGGAGGCCCTGGCTGAGAAGAAGGTAGGAAGGGAGTCTGGCGTGGCTTAGTCCTTCCTCCTCGGACGGGTTTTGTGTATTTCTCCCCGGAGACACCGTAAGGCAGTAAGATGCTCGGATCGTCTGGCCGATTTCCTTTGTGGTGCGGGGTTGGCACGGACTCCCAGGGCTGCCCCTGCCGGGGAGGGGGGAGTCTCTAACACGAAATTATCAGGGTGTGGGGCCAATCATTACAACATCTCCAGAAGGCTTTTTGAAGGCAGTAAATTTGATTCTGCGTAAGACCATGAGGTATTTTCACCCTCCTTTACTGCAGTGGATTCTTGATGTCTGCCTTATGGCACCTATAGTCACCACAGTCATTCACTTCTCTTTCTTTTTTTTTCCCTAAACCTGTTTTTGGTCCATTGCATTAAGAAAATGGCGAATTCATATCTTCTAAAGAAAAACTATTCATAAATGACAGGTTTGGGTCCCCCTCCCCCCAGAGATGAAATGAAAACTTAAAAGATTGACCTATATTGGATATCTGTTGGGTTTTCTACATTTCAGTCAACTGAATGAACACATGAATTTCAGTGCTGTGATACCGAGTTTGTGCCCTGGTGAGGAATTTAACAGGGCCACACACCCTGTCTTCTCTTTGTTATGGCGGAGTGGACAGGAATAATTAACATCCACATGAAGGAATCCGGGAGGGACTTTTTCCATATTAAAGTATCTCTTATGCCATAAATTTTGAGGGAACACGGAGTCATTGTAAAGAAAACTTCTGAAATTCGATACTCTCAATTTAAAAATGAAAGTCACCTAGAATTCTAAATGAAGTAATAGTTTAACCAGATCTAGAGAATAAGTAAACACCCCAGCCAAACTGAATTAGGCTGATCCTACCTAGACGCCAAAACCGACAGAAAGCTTTCTACAGAAACCGCAAAAATTTTTCTCACACGCTGGAAACTGCAGTTCATGGCAGAACTACTGTTTCATTTTGGGCCATCGGTATTCACAAAGATCTTTGTTTGTTTGTTCGTTTAAGTTCATTTCTTTCCTTTTGAGAGAAAGAGTGAGGGAGGGGCGGAGGGGGGTGGAGAGAGGGTCCCAAGCAGGCTCTGCGCTGGCCGTCAACACCGAGCCCCACGTGGGGCTCAAACTCACGAACCGTGAGATCGTGACCTGACCCGAAGTGGGACGCTTAACCGACCGAGGTACCCAGGCGCCCCTCACACAGATCATCTTGACCCCGCTGAGCGTAGTGTTGGCTGGCGAAGGCCCCTTCGGTAGAGAGGGTGTTCTTCAGCGTGGGGTACTTTTCAGCAGGCAGGTTACCTCCTTGTCTTTGCCCCACAGGCACTGCCCAGACTCTAGGCGCACCTTTACGAAACGGTTGATGCTGGAGAAACATATCCAACTCATGCACGGAATCAAGGATCCTGACTTGAAAGAAATGACAGAAGCCACCAACGAGGAGGAAACAGAAATAAAAGAAGATGCCAAGGTCAAACATGGCAAATGTTCTCTTTACAGTGAAATTGTGTTGACTTGCTTTTTCCATTCACTCTCTTCGTTTAAGTTTCGCCGCAGTTACCCAGGACTGTGCGCAAAGCTTATAAAACAATAGGTCAGCTCCCCGTACACCCATTCTTATCTTTCATCTTGCCCCTAAAAGGTATTAAGTTTCTTCTACATCTTTCCAGAAGCAGCTTGAGGGATCTACTTGTGTACAGAAATGATAAAATTTTCTGTGGACGCTCATCAGTTGGCTCTTAGCCATAATGTAGAAAGCTAGATGCTTTTCTGGTTGGCAGTATGTTGGTCGTGAAAGGTACCAAGTAAAAATGAAGGGGTTCTCCTTAGTTTCGCTTCACGATGGTAAAAGATAAAACCATACATCTCTGCCTTATTTCTTAGGTCAGTGGCTAGCGAACTTGAGCCAGCAGTATGACCGTTAACGTGTGTGTTAGGCGTGTGTGTGGCAAGCGCGATCGGAGAGGCAGCAAGCAGTTCGGCAGACATTCAGGAGATCTCTCTGCGGGCTTTGGCACTGGGCTGTGTCTGGAATGTGCCTGGGTTACAGCCCGAGTGTGCGCGACAGGGGAGCCGATCACTGAGTAAAGCCTAATCAGAATACGAGTCAGACTAGTGTCTCGTTAGTTTGTCATCTTTTCCCCTCCAGTGGTGGGGGTGGGGGTGGGGATGGAATTAAAGGATGTACGTGCAGGGGCAGCTCCAGGTCAAGGCCATGTATGAGGGGTGCCCTGTCAAAAGGACAGAGAAGAGGTGGGCCGCAGAGCGGGCAGGAGGGGGTGTCCCTCTGGCTTGGACTTCTGGCCAGCTGGAAACGAGGGGATTTAATGTGGCTCGGATTTAGGCAGATGGGAGCGGGAGGG